AGCAATCAAGCATGTTACAATTTAGCATATTTTCCCCAGAGTTCTCATTACATTATTTCACGGTTTTATATTTGATATATTTGTTGTTCTGGTTTAATTTATGGTTATTTTAATTTTAAAAAAGCTAAAGCAAAAGTAAAGCATTTAAGACACATTATATTGAGAATCTGGGGGCAAATGTGCTTATTTGTAATAAATATGTCATAATGCAAAATATTGCAATGTTTCTAACAATAAATTTGGTTTCTTTATGTAAAACACACACACAAAAATGACTGGACATGTCAGATTTCCCAATTTAAATCTGTCCAGAATTTTTTTCCCTTCAATTAGCAGAGAACATGTATAAAAGTGCAGATTCCATGCCGGCCTGTAAAGGACTGTATTCAGTTGACCTGGGAGCAATATTCAATACCTGGACTCCTTTTGAAATCTGAAACTCCATGTTTCATAGAACCATAACAGATATGTGTGCATACGAATGTGCTTCTACTTTCTCACAAGTGCACTTATGAACATAAACGTGTCAAGATCCAGCTTGATCTTTATCTGTCTGTTGTATTCTTCCCAATCCACAATGCTGCTTCTGTGTTTAAATGCATTTCAAAAGTCTTCCATTCAGTCCGAATCCACTTTTTGCGGAGTCCAGGAGATCAGTTTCACTTAAAATGATAGAACTCCTCTCCATGTGCATTTGTGTCCGTCCATCCGTCTAAATATCCACCCTGTGTTTTGTCTCAGGTGAGGTGTGTCTTTGTGTCAGCATGGCGACTCTACATAGTCATTGTCTAGGCGCGGCCTGAAGGGTGTGGTCAGAGATCGGCTGATAACGATGACTGACGGAGATATGCAGTCATCACGGCGATGCAGAATATTCCAGATTAGCATGGCGGCCGCTAGCGTGGCAAACAAGCAAGCAGCGATGTTAACATAGCAGGCGTAGGACAGGTGAGTGTAGGGGCCGATCCTGTAGAACGTCACCAGACCGATCACCAGCACAAAACCTGCAGAGAGAGAGATAGGACTTAGTTTCAGAAGATGGTTTAAAACCAGCCAAAGCGTCAATCTTTAATCCTTGTGCTGTGCTGAAAATTCTTGGTCTGTTGGTTATAAATCTCTCATTATGTGATATTATCACCATATCTTGGATTCAGTCTTTTTCAAATGTTTTTGTAGGGCTTTTATTTTCGACCGAGAACTAAACAAGTGGTGAAAAGAAAAAGAAAAAAAAAAAGAAAGAAAGTAAAAATTAAAAGAAAAAAAAAAAGAAGAAAAAAAATGAAAATATTCATTCATTCAGTTAGTGGAACTTTCTGTCCACTAGGATGATTTATAGAATATATATTAAAGATACACTTCATATACTAAAAAATACACTTTTTTTAAGAAATCATAAATTTAGGGGATACATGCATTTAGAAAATAGAGTAAATATTAATTTCATGCTGTCTTTAATTATATTTGATATATTTCCCTTTTTTAATGTGTGATGCTTTTAAAAACTTTTAAAATAGAGCATTAATTTTATTATTATTATTTTTTTAATTCAGTAAAATATCTGTAAATTTAATGTCACACTTATCAGCATTACATTTCAGTGGGTTATATAGAATAAAACAAATCCAATTCTACCTAAATTTGGCTTTTATAAAAATAAAAAAAATAAAAAATCACATTTCACACCTTTGGATGTTAAATTTGCCTGAATTTCTCTATTTTGGGTTTGTCTTTTAAAATGAGAAAAATTTTACTTTGCCAGTATAAAATCAAAATTGAACCAATTTATTTTCTTAATGCATGTTACTGGTTTAATTGTGAACAGTTACTCCATGCCTTTTCATAATATTATGTAAAAAAAAATTTTCATGACGAAGCATTTTAAAGCATAATTGAGGTTTGCTCAAGAAAGTTTGGTTGTGATGAAAATAAGATATGACATGAGAGCACAGAATTTTTTTTTTTTTTACACATCATTAGCTGCACATTTTGCTTTTAAACCCCCCTGAAGCTCTTTCCTGGTTCATTAAAAAAACATTCTCTAGAAAACACCATTTGTATTTGTTTTTTACAAACCAAATTATTATCTTTGGTTTTTGAAAGCATGTCACATAGCTGACCACAGAGCCTGAACCCGAAACATTCCTTTAATTCATCACGACCATAATAATAGCTCAATCTTCTTCCCTTTTGACTGATTCGAGTTGGTTTTGGCTAATAGGAGTAGTACGTCTCCCGCTTCCTGTAAAGACTCCGAGCACATGTGTTATTAATAACTGCGGCCTGAAAACACAACAGCAGATTCCCAGAAATACAGACCGTAGAGGATGTGAGATGGCAGGAGAACAACGAAATGGAAAAAGTTACAGGATTCAGATCGCGTTACACGTGCGTGTTTTATTTAGGCAGAAACAACAGCGAGCGAGGCGTTCATTCGTTCTGTTTTTATTCGGAATGCAGCTTTTTTTTGGCCCAGTGTCATGCCTTTTCCTTCCTTTTCTCCTCTATCCTTCCATTCTTCCTTCCTTCCCTCCAATTCATTCAGTTTCATCTGACGATTCTTACTCACACTTGTACAATTGAACTGGAACATGATGTACAATAACAGGGTCGATTAAATTTATTCAGGAACAGATGTTTTTCTCTCTTTGCTTCACATATTGCTCTCTCTCTGACTTACTTTCTCATGGACTGTTTATTCTTGATCATTTTTGTTTTTTTGAAGTTTTTATTTTTAGTATATCCAAAAAAAAAAAAAAACCCCTCTCAGATCTGTTTAGTTGTTTGTAGTCTAACAGAAAAAACACCCATGAAAAAGGATCCTGATCCAAATCACATCCATATATCCAGCCTTGTCCAATTTTCAGTCAGATTGTATTTCAAGTAGTCAAATAGCTTGTGATTTTAACATCACACAAAGTGCAGTCGTGTCTATACTCGTGTGACATTCAGTATGTATTTAACGGTGAATTGGTGAACAAGTGTTTGATTTCAGTTTCAGTGTATGCTTGAATGTGTAAGTCCTCTTTTATTTTTGTTTAATTCATTACTACAATTTAAATCCTACAGATCACACTGCATATCAATATTTAGTATAATTATTTAGTAATTACATTTTCTTTTATTTATTTATTAATTGAATTCATTATTGAACTTTAGTGTATATATATA